GGAGGGCAGAGAGCAAGCCGCCGGAAGCTTCTGGAAGCTGCATTTCTGAAAAGGGAATATGAACCTTACTTCACAAGGAGCCCTGGTATCACAGGGTTTAGTGCGTGGCTCCCGCAGAGGGTTGCCAGCTCCTCAGCCAGCAGTGCCGTAGATGGAAGGCCTGCTCATCTGCTCCTGTGAAGATTACCACCAGCTCTGCCCTGTAGGGCTACTAGGCACTGGAATTGACTTGACGGCACATGCCAACATGCTTGTGTGGTGCTGCGATGCTGGAAACCATGCCACTGGTGTTTCAAGTACCAGCAGGTCATCCATGGTGGACAGGTTTCAGCAGAACTTCCGGACTAAGACAGACCAGGAAGGCAGGCCAGGGCATCTGCAACCATAAAGATTACAGCCTGGAAAACCCTACGGGGCAGTTCTCCTGTCCCCTGGGGTCACCATGGGTCAAAAATCGACTCAATGGCACCTACCAACCACCCCCACCTTGTTTCAGGTGACACGAGTAAATCTCTAGAGGCAGGTCCAGTCAACAAAGGGGTCTTTTAAAATCTGACCCTCCTGCCTTTAATCTCAGGAACCATGGTTTATCTTCCCTTCAGTCTATTATAATTCACATCACTTCATCTCCTACATACAGCAGAAGAAAGCACAAGAAATTAAACACTTAAATGAATTATTTGTGATGCTTTATTATTCACACCAGCAGTTTATCTAGAGTTAATCAACTCTCCTCACATTTTCATAGAATCGTGAATAGAATGGGTGGTCTACATAGTTTTCTTTGTAACTCAGTCAACACGGATTTCATTAAGCAAATTTGCCTATTATAAGTAAGTACGTTTAACAAAAATATCATCCTGTTAATTAGCCTAAACTAAGACATTTCTAGAATTTTTCTTGGGTAGACACACATGCAAAACGTCACCTTCAAGAAGGAATCTGGATATAATTACACTCTGATTGTCATCATTTACCAGGGAGTTAATGTCTTGACTAAGGCTCTGATGACGAGATCCCATCCCTCCACCAAATGCTAAATGCTTATGTAACTGCTGCAGAGCATTCTTTTAAAAATGCTATAATGTTCAGTCTCTCAGGTGGCACTTCTCTTGTATCATGCCTGAAAAATGTCAGAGCCGGTGCTTCAGGAGGCAGATGGCAGTGGCAGTGAGCTGTTCATGGCCACAGTCGGAGTGGCATGAAGTCCCCTGTCACCAACAGGTGCTACTGTTCCAAACTGGGAGGAACATATCCAACGGGCACAAGTGACTTACTTGGGAGAACTAGTCACAAGCACAACTTCAATTATGACTCTTCCCCATTAATAAGGAAAACAGGGAGTCAAGCCCCACTGTGTCATACTATCCCTGTGGCTGTGGTCTTCGCAGACCAACAGCCCGGATGGTGAGCAAGGGCTGGCTGATGTCCTCCTATTGCACCCCTGTTTCTCTTGTGGTCATTTGTATCACAGAGGCCCCTGGACCAACTCTTGCTCAAACGTAATGATGACAGGTTTGGAATCAATGAGGGTCAAAGTGACTTCTGCAGTGTAGACTTTAGGAAAAACAAGATGCACTGGTTTTTTGTTTTTTTTCCCCTTTAGAAACAAAGGAAGAGCAAGCTGCTAAGGATTGGATGGGTCCTCCAAGAACAAGGGTTGAAATCATAATCCCTGGACCTGTAAACGTGCTCTGTTTAGAAGTCAGGGTGTTCTTTTGTGAATGAGGTCACACCAGCATCCCTGGGTCCTAGACCTAATCACATCTGAGTTATAAACGGAGCAGAACAGACACAGAGACACTCACAAGGGAATATGCCATGTAAAGACAGACACACTGGCAGATGCCTCCACAAGCCCCCCAGCGCCAGGCCTGCTGAGCTCCTAGAGCTGAAATACACAAGGAGGACCACCCCCAAGGGCCACACCCTGAGTTTGGGCTTCTCACCTGTGAGAAAACACATTTCTGTCCCTTAAAGCCACCATGTGTGCTGTTTTTTGTCATGGCAGCCAGAGATAGCTGTCAGACCACAATGCGAAGACATCACTTCCTGATCCTGAATTTCAAAAGCTCCACCTAGAGTCTTTGTCTTCATTACAAAACTAGGAGTGGTATGCTCTGGGGAGAAGACCTTGCATCCTCTGGGACAGTCTCCTCTCAACCGGCAGCCTCGCTTCAGGTTTGGATGATCTCTTCCTGGCCACTACTGCTTGGAATGCAGTATAGCCCAGGACAACCTCCCCTCCCCATTCACAGGGCAGGCGGAGCCAAAAATCCTATCACTCAGCCAAACTGAGGTGGCCACAGTGGCATTCGTGTTCAATGAGAAACCCACTGGGTGCCTGGTCCCCAAAACTACCCATGAAGAGCACCCCTGCCTGAAAAGTACCCCCACACTGAGCTTGCTGATGAAGACACCACTGCCTACTGGCTGGTGTGGGCCAGGTGGGCTACCCCGTGGGCTCAGTGGGCTGGACGGTGAGGCTGGGAAGGTGAAAGGGACGCCGAGTCAGTAAGCACTTTGCTTCCCTCCTTCCTGAAGAGCTTGCTTTTGATTCTACCTTTCAGACTCACCATGTGACAGGGTTGGGAGGCAAAAAGCTGAGCCGCTCCATCCCACGGGGCCAGGCCACGCTTGCCCTTGCATTATATCAAGCAAAACACAGCCCAGAGCCTCTCTGGAGAGCCTGGTATGCAGGCGCCCTTGAAGGTACTTATCTCCATGCAACACGCACATTATTGGAAAGACTTAAGGAAACGTGGTGGCACGTGACCACACACTCCAGCCTGATCTAGTGATAGGTGACTAATTGTAAGCTGATAACTAGATCTGTCCTCTGTTTCTATTTTCTCGGCGGCACTGGCTATATCCAGCTGCAATACTGCTAAACTTGAGCACGCCTAAATTAATTTAAAAGCCAAGTAAAAAATAGGCTGCATCCATCTTGGGAAACTGGGACGTGCTGTCGTGTTTCCAGCATGGCGCCCTTGGCTGGGACACGTGCATACAGGCTCAGACACCTGAGATTGGCTGCCGAGGTGACCAGTGGAGTTGTTCTCATTCTGGGAGGGGCTGCCTGGGGAGGATTCTGTGGGTAGCCCTGACTTTTGAACTTTTGAAAATAATTTCATTATTTTACAAAACAAGGAGTCCAACCATACTGTTGGATTGCTACTTCTTGTAATGACCAAGTCCCTGACCTTTACTGGC